ATAACTTAGGTAAATAAATTTATTTCTATGTATTTTTTTATTCTAAACTTTTATTATGATAAAGGAATTCATTTTTATTACAAATTAAAATATATGTATGTATGCATGTATGTATGTATCATCTATATTAACTTTTATATATTTAACTTTCCATTTTAAATTTATTTACAAATTTATTTCTAAAATTATAAAAGAAATTCTCCAATTGGCAACGAGGGAGCATAAGATTTGTGCACTTCTTTAAGTACCAGTCAGAATCTAATAATTTTACTTCTTAACCTATGGTAAAATATTTTTAGTTTACTAATAAATCTTATTTTTTTTAAGGTAAATTTACTAAGTTAACAAACAAGCTTCTTAACTTCTTTTTTATTGAAGTTTATATTTTTATTTATTAATAATTTTACTTTTTTCTTCATACTTCTGTATATTCTTCTATTTTATTGTAATTTTAATAATATATTGTTACCAAAATTTAATCAGGAATAATTAAATTAGCGATGAAGGTGCTCTAAGAATAGGCTCTGCTTTGTAAAAGTGTTCAAATCTTTTAGTTTTGAGATTACATCTTAGGTAATAGCTTATTAATTAAATATCATTTCGAATTCAAAAACTTTTCAATAAAAAAAAACAAGAAAACAAATAATAAAAATGATAAATAAAATTATTTGTTTATTATTTTTATTCTCCTTTCAAATTCTTATACTTTGATGTCGAAAAAATAGCATTTTTTAAATATCTTAAATATTTTATAATTATTAAAAAGAGGAAATACTGTTGGAAAATATTTTTGTACAAAGCTTAAATAAAGCGTCTTGAAGAATAGAAAATTAATTAAATCTAGGTGCGCTTTCTCCTGAGAACACAATATTATTATTAAAATGCTAAAAATAAATTAATATTAATTTTTTAATCTAATTATTTATTATTAGGTTATTTATTTATTTTATTTCTACTGCACAATTAAGCTAAACCAAAATTTTTTATATTTATATTGTAATCTATTTTTTTTTTGTAAATATTTATTTTTGAAATAATTTTTAAAACATATTTTTTTATAATTTGTAAAACATTTTTATCAGTTTTGATATAAAATTATGATATATTCTTTTAGCCCTTTTCACTCTTTTCATTTGGCTATCAAATCTTTGGCAATTAGAATAAATAATGAAAAAATACTCTAAAATAATATTTTGCTAAAAATGATAAATGACATTATTTTAATAAATAGTTACTTTAAGTAATAAAAATTTGTTTTAAATATTTCTCAAATATTTTCCTCTAATTTAGATTATTTTTCTTACTAATTAAAATATGAGTAATTAATAATTTAAATGTAAGAGAATAACAATTATGTAAAAGAGCTTTAAAAATTAGCTCAAGAGATGAAACCGAGGACCTCGGTTAATTTATTCTAGAAATATGATTGATATTTTATAGCACTTCCTCAAATATAAATAATAAAAAATAATTTTGAAATGAAGATATATTATATCTGGTGTAGAAAAAAAAATGGAAACTGATATTTAAAAATAATATTCAAAATATTTAAATATCATGCAAAATGCAAAATATATTTTTGTTAATTATCATTTATCTTCAAATTTATATACCAATGAATCTTCTATGACACCTTTTTTATGTATTTACCTCAGTCAATATGGGATAGTTAAAATTCAATTATTAGCAAATTATCAGATATACGACTTGCGAATTGCGAGTTAAGAGGTATTTTACAGTATTAAAAATATCTTATCATTGATAAAAGAAAATAATTAAGAAAATTGATAAATTTAGCTTATTGATTTTTTAAAGAGCTTTTAAATTATCTAAATTACTAAAAAAATATAAAAATTTAAAGATATCAATTATTATTTAATTAAATGATCATTCACAATAGAAAATATCTTTTTATTTTCTGGAATTTTTTCCTAATGAAATTTATTAAGATTACATAATTTAATTTTTTTACAACAGTAAACAAATAAATACCAAAAATTAATAATTAAAATATCTTTGTAACATTTTTGAAAAAATACATACAAGCATATTACACAAAAAAGATATTTTAAAGACTAAATAAATATTTAATAATTAATTAATAGAGTTACCTTTTATTTTTTAAAATGGATAATTTGATCTGTTAATAAATAACTGAATTTTTTAAATTTATAAATTATGGGAAGAGTGGTAATAAAGAATATTTAGCTCTAAATAATTTCTGTTGAATTTGTTATATAGTTTTTAAAGCTAATTTAGATTAATTACAAAATATGATAATCAATTTTTAACTGAATCATGAAGCTGAATTCAAAATTGCTTTTAAGAAAAATTATTTTATCATTTCCTGTATAATAAGTGCGTTAAATTTGAATAATTTATCTCCCATAGCATAACAATTTTTGATGACTTAAAATTTCACATAGTGATTATTTAAAAATGCCAAAATTTAAAATTAGGATAAGATTATTAGTAAATATGAGTTAAAAATATCAGTGACTAATTTTTTTATAATTAAAATAGAAGTATTAAGGTGATAATTATCTTGTTTTTATTTGATTAACTGACTAGAGAATTTAATAATGCTGATTTCTATTTGTCAACAAGCTAATTAGAAATTAATTACTATATCAAAATTGAATTTTCCTTCATAAGCACTATCAATTTTTAAATGTCTGAAAAATTTTAGCATATTTACAGACTAATTGGCAAAGTATTTACAAAACCATTTTAATTTATATATACTTGCCTTTACCATCTATTTATTTATTACTTACTTTTCATGTTTAAAATAACATGTAGAATTATTTTTTTAAAAATTTTTAAATATTAAAAAAAATAGTTAATATTTCTTTGATTGAATTTTGAAAATGTTTATTTAATTATTAATCACTTACCACACATTCATTTCATAAATGTTTTTTGCTTCGAACTTCTTTATTCAAAGTCATTAAAAAAATATTATGTAAATTCATGAATGTATTTTTTAATTAGTAGATAAGATTTACTCAGAATTAAGAAATTAATTAACAAATTATTAGATCTTGTGGTTGTGTTAGATAATTTGAATGAATTTGAAAGATCTATTTATTCTCTACTTCATTTTGAATAGAAAAATAATAAAAATATTTTTAGCCTTTCTTTGACTTAAAATATATTTTATTTTGTAAAGAAAAACCAATTTATTTAAAAGTTTGTATTTTTTCTTCTTGTACTTTGTCTGTTTTAATTTATGCCATTTCTGATCCCTCTATCCCTTCAAAAATATTAAAAATGTTTTAAAATATTTTTTTATAAAGAAATATTATAATCTTACATATATTTAACATTTTTGGTTCAGCATAATATCTATTCATCAGTGATTTTTAAGTCATTTTATGATATTATTTTTACAGATATATACGCATTGTCAAAAACTCAAACAAAATAATAAATTTTTTCTTTTCAACCTTACACATATCTAAAAATTAAACTGATCTTAATTAATAATGATTACTTGATGAAGCAAACAAAAATTAAAGTATAGTTAAGCTTGAAATCAGCTATAAAGATTTAGTAAAATTTGTAATATTTAATTTTATACTTTAGCATATAAAATAGAACTAACATATTTAAATTCACTGTACTTCACTCTATTTGTGCATAAATTTTTATCAAAAAAATGAAGATTTTTAAAAGTTATGATTTAATTATTTCTACTATTCGTTAAAATTCGAATTTATTAAATTAAAGATAAATACATTGAATATTTAAATGAAAATACTGTAAATACGTAAAGATATTTTTTAAAAAAATCAAATAGATAGGGTAAGGTATTAATCAAAATCAAAAATTTTTAGTTATTTATTTATTTATATCTAATAACTAATATACTCAAATCGCTCATCGGGATTAATAAGCTTAATAGATTTTTTTTATTTAATAGATATCATTATCAAAAATCATATTTTCCTTTAAAAAATGCTATTTATAATCTATCTTTTTATTTTTAAATGAATTAGCTTACTTTTACAAACACATACAATAATTAACTTGTATATAAATTAGTCAACGCCTTTTTTATAATATTTATTATTTATAATTTAGAATGTTTAATATCAATTTGTTTTATTCAAATTAATTAAAGTCCCTACCTTCATAAATTTTATTAAATTTTAGAAGAACAAAATTCAATTAAGGAATTTATTCTATCTATCCTTTAAATACCTAAATCAAACAGCCTCTTTTCATAATAATTAATTAATTAATTAAAAAAGAAAATAATAAAAAAAAAAATTTAAGTAAAATGAATATTTTAAAGTTACTAATAGTTTTGCTTTTAATAAGCTAAATAGTTGCTTTAGGTGCTATTGTTACCTGCTAAGGTAGTGGATGCTCTCCTTCAAGTTGCACAACCCTTCCTACTGCCACTCCTGCTTTGAGTTGGGTACCTGCTGGTTAAGCTACTGGATAATGTGCAATTAACTCTTGTCCTGCATCCGGTGCTACAATTTCAGGTACTACTGATCTCTACTGTAAATCTTGTCCTGGTACTCCTAACAATGGTTTTCAAGCTGTCTTTGCTAACACTTCAGGAAATGCTTGTGTTGCTGCAACTGCAACTTGTAGTTCTAATAGAGCTGCTAATACATGGAATAACGATGATTGCCTTGCCTGTAATGGTAATACATCTCAATATGCAAAGGCTGATAATTCTGGTTGTTAAGCAAATCCTGTTGGTGCTTTTGTTCCCTGCTAAGGTAGTGGATGCTCTCCTTCAAGTTGCATAACCCTTCCTACTGCCACTCCTGCTTTGAGTTGGATACCTAGTTAATTTTAAACTGGAATATGTGCAATTAGCTCTTGTCCTGCATCTGGTGCTACAATTTCTGGTGCTACTGATCTCTACTGTCTATCTTGCCCTGGTACTCCTAACGGTTGGGTTCGAGCTTACTATGCTAACACTTCAGGAAATGCTTGTGTGGCTGCAACTGCAACTTGTGGTTCTAATAGAGCTGCTAATACATGGATAGATGCCGATTGCCTTGCCTGTAATGGTAATACATCTCAATATGCAAATGCTGATAAATCTGGTTGTTAAGCAACTCCTGTTGGTGCTATTGTTACCTGCTAAGGTAGTGGATGCTCTCCTTCAAGTTGCACAACCCTTCCTACTGCCACTCCTGCTTTGAGTTGGGTACCTGCTGGTTAAGCTACTGGATAATGTGCAATTAACGCTTGTCCTGCATCTAGTGCTACAATTTCAGATGCTACTGATCTCTACTGTAAATCTTGTCCTGGTACTCCTAATGGTAGTGTTCAAGCTGTCTTTGCTAACACTTCAGGAAATGCTTGTGTTGCTGCAACTGCAACTTGTGGTACTAATAGAACTGCTAATACATGGAATAACGCAGATTGCCTTGCCTGTAATGGTAATACTTCTTAATATGCAAAGGCTGATAAATCTGGTTGTTAAGCTACTCCTGTTGGTGCTGATGTTAGCTGCACTGGTACTGGATGCGCTACTCCTGCAAATTGCCCAGCCCCTCCTACTGCCACTCCTACTTTGAGTTGGGTGACTGGCACAGGCACTGGAAAATGTGCAATTAACGCTTGTCTTGCATCTGGTGCTACAATTTCAGGTGCTACTGATCTCTACTGTCTATCTTGTCCTGGTACTCCTAACGGCAGTGTTCAAGCTGTCTTTGCTAACGCTTCAGGAAACGCTTGTGTTGCTTCAACTGGAACTTGTGCTTCTAGAACTGCTAACACATGGACAAATGCAGACTGCTTAGCTTGCAATGGTAATACTAATTAATATGCTAAATCAGATAAATCTGGTTGCTAATCAACAGCTCCTTCTTCTTCTTCTTCTTAATCCTAATCTTAATCCTAATCTTAATCTTAATTTTATTCAAACTCAAGGATAATTTTGAGCTCAGTTTTATTTTTAATTACACTCCTTTTCTGATTTTTTATGTTTGAATTAAACTCATTCAAAAAAACAGATTTTTAATAATACTTATTTGATTGTTTGCTTTATTTATATTAGCTTTTAACCTATATATTATGTATGCTGATTTGATTGAAAAGTATTATTGTACATTCAATTATTTTTATTTATATTTCTTTTTTGCTTTTATTTTCTCTGAAAATCAAATTCTTTCTTTTCATTTTTAAATTGTTTATCAAAAAATATTTTTTCAAAATATATTATCTCACTCATTTTAAATATTTTATTTTACTCTTATTGGTATATTTTCCTTGGGAATATTTTTTAATTTCATAGAAAAAGTTAAATATGTATGTAGTAAAAGAAAAGTAATTTATTACAATCAGCTGATTTACAATAAATTAGCTTCAATCAAGATCAAGCCCATGTTAAAATTCAAACAATTAGTAAAAAACACTACTAGGAAATCTTTAAAAATTAACATAGCTATTCTCGGATAATTATTTCTTGAGTAAGAAATTTTCACTTAGTTGAATAAATTATAATATTATTTAATCAATTAAAAAAAAAAATTTAAAGAAATAAAAAAAGTTTTTGAAGCAGTTAGGTTTAGAATTTTTTAAATTTATATTAATTTTTTTGAAAATAGTAAATTTTTTAGGGTAAATAAATAAATAAAATAAATTTCTCATTTTATATAATATTTAAAATTTAAGATATTAAATACCTTATAATCAATGAAAAATAGAATTTTTTAATAGCACCTATTTTTCTTAAAATTTAACACCTATTTTAACATTTTTTCTAAAAAAATTGAATTAACACCTAAATAAATTTTCATTTTGAATTTGGGGAGAGGAAATGTTAATATATGTAAGTAAATCTACAGTATTTTACTTTGAAATTCTAATCAACAAAAAGATCATACTAATTAATAATTTTAAACATGTTTCTTGTATACAAAAACAAAGAAAAGAATTTTATATTTATTGTGTTTATTAGATAGTTAGCTATATAGCTTTTTATTGACAAAAGATAAACGTTATTAAATGAGTATTTTTAGCTGTGAACAAACATATAGATATGTTTCTTTCTGGATATTCTTAGGGTGAGTTCAAGATCGAATTAAATTTATTGAAGTGCTTTGAGGATTTTAAATGATTCTTTTGTCAAAAAATATTGCAAATTTATTTTACTATGAAATTATGAATTTGGTATTTTACTATTAAATTTTTTACTTTATATCAATAAAAATATTTAAAATATTATATTTAATACACTTTATATCTTAAAAATATTTTTAATTTTCTATCTTAGTCCTTTTGTAATTTTATTTAGAATTAAAAATTAAAACATCATTTTCATTATTAAAAATTTGTAATTTGTAAAATGAGTTAAGAAATGAATAGTTAGTTAGTAAACAAACTACTTTTTTTAAGCATAAATGGTTAATGAAAAGTAATATCCCATATTAATAAACTCATATATCTAGTTATTCGAACAAAAGAATAAAACCTTTTAAAACTTTTTAAATGAAAAAAGCAAACAAAAATTTTGGGGTAGTTAGCAATTAATTTAAATTAATATATACTTGTAATAGAATAATAGGTCAAAATTTCAATATAATTAACAGCAAACAAACACATTTTGATATGAAAACAATATTTCATTTTTTCTTTATTAAAATTTGATATTTATTATTATTTTATTTAAAATAAATCTTGAATGATGATTTTAAAACTAATTAAAAATTAACTATTATTTCTTACTTTTTTGTTTGTTTGAGTTTAAATATATTGTAAAATTTAATATAATATGAAGAGATATATTTTTTAAAAAGATCCGTTAATATAATGTATTTAATTATTTAAACTAAATAGAAATCATTGTTTTTAAAAAATATTTTGTATGAAAAGACACAGAAACTTGCTTGAGTAATAAGTCTCTTTTTCTAAGAATTTAATATGCTGCTATCTCTTAAATAATTAAAACATTTTAATTTCTACTTTTTATGAAGCTCTTTCATAATTCACATAAATAATTTTTTAAAATCTCAAGGTGCTTAATATATTTACAACTAAAATATACCTATTTTTATTATTTAAATTTCCTTTAAATTTTAAAAGTAATGTTTATTATTCTACTTAATATTTATTTCCTGCTTGAGAAATAATTATCTGAGAATAGCAATAATAAAATTATGCAATTTTCATTATATAAATAATAATTATAATTTTAATTCTTAATTATTATTAAATTTAGAAATTTATCATTATATTTAGATAGAAATCTATTAAAAAATAAATTAGATAAAAACTAACAATTAAATTGAAGAAGATATGAAGTAAATTGTAGAATAAAAGCTTAGAGATACTAAATATTTTGAATTTATTTATTCAATTCAAAATGATATAATTAATTTTAATTTAATATAAAAGTAATTAATTATAGGTTGATGATGAAAATATAAGCGAATCTCAAAATATGCAGGATGTTGCAAATATATATTCCTAATGAATCAAATAGAAACAAAGGATTAGGTAATGATGAAGAAGAGGATGATAACGATAGTAATCAATCAGGAAGATTTTTATTTTTCCCAAATTTAAAGAAATTAATCATAGATTCAAAATTTGTAATCAAAATAATTTAAGTTGATTTTAATTAATTTTTTGAAAGTTAATAATGATAAGAAATTAAAATAAAATAATTATAAAAAATAAAAAGAAGGACCAAAGAAAGCCTAATTAAATTGAATGTATTTTATATTAAATATTTTGTAATTTTTTATAAATTTAATACCTTAATAATTCTCAAATGTTCGCAAAATCTAATTTTGGAAAATTTAAAAATTTAAAATTGCTAGGTATTAATTAAGTTATTAATAATGTCTAATCATTGATAAAAGAAAATAATTCAGAAATTTATAAATTTAGCTTACTGAATTTATTAAAGCACTAAAAAATTATATAAATAGCTAACTAAAATACAAAAATTGAAGATATCAAATATTATTTATTTTATTAATTAATTGATTCATCATTCAAAATAGAAAATAAATATATATCTTTTTTATTTTCTACAATATTTTCCTAATGAAATTTATTAAGATAACAAATTTAGTATCTTTACTAACATTAAATAAATACCAAATATTAATAATTAAAACATCTTTGTAATATATTTGAAAACACACAAACACATTAGATTACTTACACAAAAAAGATCTTTTAAAGATTAAATTAATTACAAAATATAGTGTTTTATCAAATATTTTTTGTTAAAGTGATATACTAACAAAATGAGGCTAAGCCTCAAGCTGTTATTATATACTTTTCATAAATAAAAATGTATTTTTTAATATATTTTATCTACCTAAAATATTTATATACTTTAAATCATATACTTGTTATATTAAAAAGATAAATTTAAATAAATATTCTTATAAAAATTGCTGTAGCAGAGAGGTTTTTTCTGCCTACTGATCTAAAAAAGCCCCGATTGTAAATTCTCTGGTAGATAAAAAATAAACTTATTTATATTTTTATAATTAAGAAATAGTAAAATGTTAGCCATTTTACCACTAACATTTTATCTCCTTCCGAAGTAAGTGTAAGCAAATTTTAAAAAGATCCTTTCAGAATGTGAGCTAGTTAGTTAAGCACTTAAATATTTTCTATATATTCCACTTAATAATATGAGGAATTTATTTTTATTAGTTTTCCACCATAATAAAGATAATAAAGGATTTTCTGAAAGTTAGTTACATCGTTTCCTCTTCCAAATATTCATTAACCTCTTTATTTATACCTATAATTTTATTTTTTTGTCTTTCTCAATGATACCTCCAAAAATTCTAATCATTTTTTATTCAGATTCACTTTCTTCATTATTATTTGTTTTATGCTTTCTAGAATATATTTTTTATTTATTTGATTCAATAAATTTTTCTGTTAATTTTATTAAATACTATTCAATTTCAACAATTTATGAATTATTCAGGAATTAAAGTTACTTAAATTTAGGATATAGTAAGCTGCAGATGGCGAACTCCTATTAATAAGTTTCATATCACTTAATTCATTCTATAAATTCTTTTAAAAACTCTTTTCTAAAAGTATTAATTTATTCATTTACTTTATAACCTACTTAAACTAAATCCTTTGTATTGGTTGGTGCCAGAATGCTTTATTTCTGTTTAAATTTTTTAGCTTTATAGAATGAATTCAGTCAGAGTTTATTTATATGATGGCATTAAATTGTTTAAAAAGAATTTTTATTTTTATTTGACCAATAATAGAGTGTTAATGAAACTCCTTACTATTTTTTTAATTAATTTTTAATATAAGATTTCATAGAGTTATAACAGTCTAGAAGATGTGTTTTTCTAAATATTTCTCTGCATGGTAAAGTATATCTAGGTTCTAGTAATTTAACTAAAGATATAAAACCCTAATATTCAACAATGTTTAATGACTTAAACGTTAATATATAAATTTAGAAATCTAAGTATTTATTTTTTATATTTATAATTTTGATAAGGGTTTAATTTTAATTTTGAAATTATCATGAGTTAAGATATTTTAATATAATTATACATTTTTGTAATTTTCTTCATACTAAGCATACTGCTTCTCATGCTTCACCTAATCGTGAAGATAAGTGATTTCATGCTACATAAATATTTCAACTCTGCTTAGTAATTTTCAATGCCACACTTAGCATAAAGCACTTCATTCTTGTTGATGATTGTAAAGTAAAAAAATAGGGATAGCATAAAGTCTTCCACCATTAAGCTATGTTTTTCAAATGTATTTTTATTTTAAAATTAATTAATTTTTGAGTCTTACATTGTTATACTAAAATGAATTTAATAACTGATTAGGTAATTTGAAAAATTAAGGATATTTCTATTTTAATCTAAATTATATTTAAATTAATATGGATTTTTTATTTTAGAGGGTTTTTATTTATTTAAATTTAAAAATTTGGAAGTAAATTTTAGATTTTACCCCCTATAAGGAAGGATATTACTCGATTAAGTAATATATATCTCCTCCCTGTTCTCTTATAGTATTGATAAGTAATAGCAGAGTAGATAATCAATCTTCTAAGTTAATATAAAACTTTCTTTTGAGTTTTCTCTCTTTACGTCGAACAAATAATTGACACAGTATAGCTTGCATTATAAATTATTTATTTTACTTTGAAATTAAATTTATTGAAAAATTTTATTTTTTTTTAAACTTATATTTTACTTTGAAGGTCTTATTCAATAGAAAGAGCATATTAGTCATTTTAAACATATTGTTTGTATGCAAAAAACAAAGACAAAAAATAATATTTATTCTATTAATTAGATAGTTAGCTAAAGAGCTTTTTATTTATAAAGAACATTAGATAAATGTTATTAAAGGAGTTTTTTAGCTTTTACCAAATTTGTTTTACTTTAAAAATATGAAAATGGTATTCGAATATTAAATTTTTACTTAATATGAATAAAAATATTCGAAATATTATTGAATGCACTTGATATATTAGAAATAAATTTATTTTTAATTGTCTATATTTGTTCTTAGTATTTTCATTTAGAATAAAAAATTAAAGCATCATTTGCATTATTAAACAATTTTAATTTGAAAAATGAGAATGAAAAGTAATATCTCATATTAATAGACTCATATATTTAGTTAGGCTTCGTTTTTTGAAAAAAAGAATAAAGTGTTTTAAAACTGTTTGGATGAAAAAAGCAACAAAAGATTTTGGGTAGTTATTAAATAATTAATGTAAATAAATAAACACCTTTAATTAAATAATAGATCCAAAGATTAATATAAATAAAAGTAAATATATATTGATATGAAAACTATATTTTGGCTATTTTAAAACTAATCTCAAAATCTACTATTTTTTCATACTTTTTTTTTGGTAGAATTTAAAGTAAAAATATCTATTCTATATAATTTAAATATAGTATAAAGAGATATATTTTTAAAAAGATCCATTAATATAATGTATTGAATATTTTTATATTTTAGGAATAGAAATCATTGTTTTATAAAAAATATATTGAATGAAAATACACAGAAACTTGCTTAGCTAATAAGAACTAATCCTTGTTAAAAAAAATTATTTTTCCAAGTCAAATATTTCATTTGATTTTTTTTCTAAATTAAATAGAAATTTTAAAAATATATTAATTTTGAAAAGGACTCTTTAGACTAATTTATCTTTTACATCTATCATTCATAAAAGAAAATAATTTAGAAATTTTTAAATTTAGCTTACTAACTTTTTATCAAAACAAACACATTTAAATGATCTAAATAACTAAACAAAATTTGAAGATATCAAATATTATTTAATTAATTAATTTTCTACTATTTTTTACTAATGAAAATAATTAAGATTATTTAATATAATATGTTTGTTTGCATTTAGTAAATAAATACCAAAAATGAATACCGTATATCCTCATCACTGGGCATCCAGCCCCCCCCCTGGATTTTTCAAAAAAAATGAGTATAATTTTATTTAAAAAATCTAACAAAAATTTTTTTAGATTTAAGAAAATGAAAACTTACCTTTACCATCTATTTATTTATTACTTTTAATGTTTGAAATAAATAACATATAAAATTATTTTAAATAAAAATTTTTAAATGTAAAAAAAAATAGTTATATTTCTTTTTGATTTAATTTTGAAAATGTTTAAATAATTATTAATCAATTCACTTTCATTTCATAAATATTTTTTGCCTCAAGCTACTTTAATCAAAATTGTTAATTTTATATATTATTTTGTAAACTCATGAATGCATTTTTAATTAATTAATTAATAGATAAGAATTACTCAGAATTAACAAATTGATACATTATTTGATATTGTGGTTATGTTAGATAATTTAAATTCATTTGAAAGATATATTCTTTACTTAATTTTGAATAGCAAAATTACAAAAAATATTTTAAGCCGTTGTTTGTCTTAAAATATATTTTATTTTGTTTAGTAAAAACCAATTTATTTAAAATTATGTAGTCTTTCTATTTGTACTTTGTTTGTTTTAATTTATGCGATTTTGATTCCTCAATCCCTTCAAAAATATTAAAAATGTTATTAATATTTTTTTCGTAAAGTAAATATAACAAAATCACATTTATTTAGAATTGTTAGTTATGTATAATATCTATTGATCAGTGACTTTTAAGTCAATTTATGATATTATTTTTTGTTAAAATTATTTTTACAGAATTATATGCCTTTTCAAAAACTCAAATAAGATAATTGATTTTTACTATTTAAGCTTACACAGAAACAAAAACAACAGTGTAGCTAAGTATTAAATCAGCAATAACCGCCTAGCAAAATTTGAGATTATTGGATTTGATACTTTGATATATAAAATTGAACTAATATATTTAAATTCACTGTATTTCACTCTATTTTTGATATCAATTTTCATCTAAAAATATTCAAAATTTAAAAAGGTTAAATGCATAAGAATTTATTTACTCTAAAGAAATTTTTACTTTCAAAATTTGAGAAATGGCATTAAATGCTTTCAAAAATTTGATAAAAACAATTAAAATATTAAATGAATAGTATTAGTTTAAAATCACAAAAATTAAATGAAATATTTGAAATAGCAATATATTTATTTATTTATTTATTTATTTATATTTTCCAAAATTTCTATTATGAATAAAAAAGTAATCTAAAATTATGATAAATTCCTATAAACAAGAGTAAAAAAAGCAAGAAAGAATGCTACTTGGCATTATATTTTTTAATAAAAAATTATTGAAATTCCTCTAACTGGATACATGATGTTACTGGAATTAAATACCTGGATTAGCAATTCTTTAATATTTTAAGTAAAATGGCATGTTTAAATTTATTTTAATTAATTTTCTTCATAACTTTAGCTAGCTTTTTAGATCTTATTAATCCATTATTTTTTAACATTTATAATTTAAAAAAAATCAATAAGCCAAAAGAATGAAAGACACTTAAATAATAAATTTATTTTAGTTTTTATAATCATAATTATTATACAACTTATATTCATTTTTAAAATAATATTAATGAAAATCAATAATATTCTTATTAACTACAATTTATCTATCTTTCAGCAATCTTTTTGATCATATTTTAATTATATTAATGCTATTAAGTGAGTGATTCTAATATTAGGATAGATTGTGTTAATTTACAAATATTTTTCATACCTTTATTAGTTAATTAGTAATATTAAATAATAGATGCTGAAAAGATATTTTTTTAATTTAATCGGGTAAGGTATAAAAATAAAATATTGTAAGCTTATTTATTGAGCTTTTTATAGCTAATAACTAATTTACTCTACTTACTCATCTGGCTTAATAGGTTTAAGATATTTTTTGATTTAAAAGATATGATTATTGAGAATCCTCTTTATTTTGCTTTAAAAAATGCTATTTATAAACTATCTTTTTCATTTTACTAATAGATTAATTAGCTGGCTTTTACTGACTAAAATCACACACTACTTTAATTATCAAATTTTTCTTAAAATATTTAAATATAAATTATTCAGCCCCTTATTTATTTATATCAATTTATTATTTATAATTTAGAATGCTAATTATTTAATTGCTTTGTTGAATTTAATTAAATTATGTTTATACATTCATAAATTTTAATGTATTTTAGAAGAAAAATTAAATTAAGCAATTTAATTTTATCTATCTATCTATCTATCCACTTAAATAATACCTACATCAAACACCCTCTTTTTTTAATAATTAATTAATTAATTAAAAAAGAAAATAATAATCATCAAAAGTTAAGTAAAATGACTATTTTAAGGTTACTGATAGTTTCGCTTTTAGTAAGCTAAATATTTGCAGGATAAGGTGCTGAAGTTATCTGTAATGGTACTGGATGCTCAAATTGCCCAATCCCTCCTACTAGTAATGGTATTTTGAGTTGGGAGACTGGTAAGAAGGATCCAACAAAATGTTTAATTAGCAGTTGTCCTTTATCATACGCTCCAATTAATGGTACTACTGATATCTACTGTCAATCTTGTCCTGGCATTCCTTTCCGTGGTGTTCCAGCTATCTTTGCTAACAGTGCAGGAGATGCCTGCGTACCTTCAAGTGAAACTTGTGGTATTGGAAGAACTGCTAATACATGGAACTATTTAGATTGCTATATGTGTAATGGTAAAGATGCTCCATTAGCTAAATCTGATTAATCTGTTTGCTTAGCAAATCGCATTCCTGGTGATGATGTTAGCTGCGCTGGTACTGGATGCGCTAGTCCTGAAAATTGTCCAACCCCTCCTACTAGCACTCCTGCTTTGAGTTGGATGACTGGTACAGGTTCTGGAAAATGTGCAATTAGTAGTTGTCCTCCATATGGAACTCCAATTAATGGCGCTACTGATCTCTACTGTCAGTCTTGTCCTGGTACTCCTAACGGTAATATTAAAGCTGTATTTGCTAATAATTCAGGAAATGCTTGTGTTGCTTCCACTAGAACTTGTGGAAAAAGTAGAACTGTTAACACATGGACAAATGCAGACTGCTTAGCTTGCAATGGTACAAATAATAAGTATGCTAAATCAGATAAATCTGGTTGCTAATCAACAGCTCCTTCTTCATTTTCTTTTTATATTTATTCAAACTCAATGATAATTTTGAGCTCAATTTTATTTTTAATTACATTCCTATTCTGATTAATTATGTTTGAAATAAACTCATTCAAAAATAAGAGATTTTAAATAATACTTATTTTATTGTTACTTTTATTTATATAAGCTTTTCCCTTTATATTATTTTTACTGATTTGATTGAAAAGTAAATATGTGAATTCAGTTATTTAAAATAAAATTAATTTTCTCTATTTTTCTTTTTTGCTATTTTATTTTATTTTCATTTTTAAATTGTTGATTAAAAAATATTTTATTTAATATACCATAATTACTCTAATTTATGAATGTGTTATTAATTAGCTTGCTAAATTTTAAAAAAATAATATTTTGGGTTTAATTGGAAGTGCTTTTTAAATATTGGTTTATTTAAATGAAGTATATTTTTTACCTCATTCATTTTTTAGTAGAAAAAATATAAGATGTAATTAAAATTTGCATTTTTATATTAAAAGAATTCTTCTTTATTCATTTAATTAATAAACTAACTTTTTTTCAAATTTTTAATTAATAATTACAGTTTTTATTTAATTAGTAATTTATTTTTCACACTATAATAAAAATGAATTAAAATATAAAATAATATTATGAAGATTTAGAAGAAGTATTTTATTATTTTATCACACTTTTAGGTATATATAATTATTATTTAACTAAAAGTTTCTTATTTCTTCTTTATCTTCTCATATTTGCCTCGAAATCGATCTCAGGTAATAAAAACCTTATTAAAATTTAACATAAATCAAAATATATTAATTTTTATAAACTAACAACCAAATTTTTATTTATTTTATATTCTCCTTTATTTTATTTTTTCATTAAATAAACTTATTATTTTGTGATAAATAACATTAAGAGATAATGAAATTAATGATGAAAAAATATTTCTTCTAGCTTCTGCAATAGCTAATTGCACTCAGCTATCAAGTTTGTCTCTTGATTTGAGGTAATTCAAGTTTACTTATTTAATTCACTTTATTTTTAAAAATTTTTAATAAAGTAAAAAACTATATTTTCATTTATTTATTTATTTTGCATTTAAATCTTTCAAAATTTTATTAAAATGATTTATATTTTTAGTGAATAATTTTTAAATGTATTAAATATTTATTTATATAAATTAATAATCTTTCTTTTAATAATTATAAGTGATATCTAAGTTTGCAATATGGGTATTAAGACATTAATTTCTGCCCTGAATAATATGACTTATCTCTCAAATCTATAATTGTTATTGAGGTAAAATTAAAAGACGAATAAAATTTGCATTTAATTAAATTTGGCATTTCATTTATTTTATTAGAAAAAAAAAATTGAAAATAAATAAATAAAAATCTTTTTTTAATCCATATTTTACTTAGATTTATTTTTATAGTTTATTAATAAAGTCTTATTTATTTTTATTATTAAATATAATAGATGGTGTTAAATAGAAAAAGAGGCTCTATAAAATTTAGGATTATTTTTAATAAATAAATCTCATTTGATTTCTTTAACACTTGATCTGAGGTAATAAATAGAATTTTATGATAATATTTTAATAAAGATTTTATAATATTTATCTAAAAAAATATTTCTAACTTTTTAATTTTGCATTTTAGAATAAATATTTTTACATTTAATTCATTTTGTAATACTTATAATGTTATCAAAAATAATTTATTGTTATTAAAATTGAAAAGAAATAATAAAATTGGTAGTTATTGTGAATCAGATTTAAGCTCAACTTTTGCAAATTTCTCCAATCTCTAAATATTGAAACTCAAAATGAGGTAATTCAGCTTTTAAAAAATTTATTTAATATATTTAATTTAATAAAAAGTTTTATTAAATTTAAAATTATATGAATTATAATACAATTAATTATTTTTAATAATAAAAATAAAACTTTAATAATTAAAGGCGGCTGGCTCTTAAATAAAATAATCAAAATAATTTATTAATTTTTTCCTTTTTTAATTGTTAATTTTTTATTTAAGACTTTTTTTATTTTTTTTAAATAAATATTTTTGATATTAAAATCATAGTTCAAATTAAATGGGAAATTAAGGAGCTACAATTTTGGGTTAAGGTTTAAAAAATTGCTTGAATCTATCTACATTAGAATTAGATGTTGGGTATATATAATCTATTTGCTTCATTTAAATTTTAAATTAATTTACTTGTTCTTTTATCATAAATTATTTATAAAGTTGAAATGAATATATAAATATAGTCAATATTATATAAATTAAATTATAAAAAGAGATAATTAAATTAGCAATGAAGGTATTGTTGCTTTAGGATCTTCTTTTAAGTATTTCTCGAATCTCTTAAATTTGACCCTTGATCTAAGGTAAAAACACCTCATTTATCAACTTATTTTCTAATGCTAAATAATTAGCAAAAATAAAAATGTTGCTTGCTACTTTTAAAAATTTTTTCATTATGAAAAATAAAATGTTATTTTTTCCAATAATTTTAAAAATTTTCTATTTATTTTACATGTTCGATAAAATTTATTAAATACAAAAATTAAAAGCTCAAATAAGGCTGGAAATGAAGGCGCTTTAAGTTTAGGTTAAGCTTTATCAAGTTGTATTGGCTTAAAGAGTTTAATAATTGATATCAAGTAGCTATTTATTTCTCATAGTATATTGATATTAACTTTTTAAAATTTATATAGAAGTAATTAAATTGAAGAAACTGGTTCATAAGGTTTAGCTATTGCTTTAAAAAATTGCACAAATCTTTAGATTTTGACAATTGAACTTTAGTAAATTTTATTTATTAACTTTATTTATTCTTTAAAAAATTATTAAAATAATAATTATTGTACATTATTATTTATTAATTAATACCCATTGCATAAATATCCAAATTTTTAATGAAAATTTATTAGTTAGTTAGTTAGTTAGTTAGTTAGTTAGTTAGTGAGGTGTTAATTAATAATTTACATTAATAGTTTTTTTAAAAATATTTATTTATTTATTAAAATTTGAATTTTATTTATATTATATCATATTTATTTTTTATTTTTATTTTTAATTGAAATACTAAAGCTTGAATAAAATTAATCCAACTGGTGCATAATTTTTAGGGAGCGCTTTCATAAATTGTGTTAATATGTAAAAATTGTCTATAGATCTTAGGTAAAAATAAATAAATAATAATTAATAAATTTGATATAATTAAAAAATCTAAAAATTATCTTTAGTTGAGAGAATAAATAAATACACTTCAATAATAATGAATGGTGTTAATTAAAATATATTTTCCTTTAATTTATGATATTAAATTTTACATATAATTAGAAATTACTTTATTTTAAAAAAGCTCTAATTTAATTGGTAACAAGGGCGCTTTGTGGCTAGTTTCTAATTTAGAAAATTGTACAAATCTCACAAAATTGTCACTTAACCTCTAGTAAGAATAACTAATTTTTAATTTTATTTTTAAAATGATTAATTTTTAAAAACACAATAATTTGATAAAATTGAACTGACTTAAAATATTAATAAATTATCATATTTTTCATTTTATTTTAATCATTGAATAAAATTCAACTTTTGTACCATAAATCTAAATAGCCCAAAAATTGTTTTTTGATTACTTTTAATGTTAAAATAAGTTGATAAGTTAAATGTTTTATTTATTATCTTAAAATAAATTTTTTATGATTTGTATTTTATTTATAACTGAAACTAATAAAAATATTTAATCTAATAAAATATTAAATTACAAAATTAAAACTAAAATACAATAAGCTACA